CCCAAAAATGTCATGGGCATCCCCAGGCGTCCCGTCGGCCATCCCGACCTGCCACCGATGAAAGAGCCGGGCACTGCCCTGGCTCCAGAGGAGGAGGACAGTGCCACGCTGGCGGCCCACGCGGCCCCGCTGGGCGTAGAGCCAGGGCAGGGCGCCTGCCTGACCCAAGCCACCCGCTTCCCACAGGTCCAGGCGCACATCGCAGCCCAGCCCTGCACGCAGCCGCTCGGCCAGGGCACACACCAGCCCCAGATGCTCCTCCGAGTCTGGCGAGTACAGCAGCAGCACAGGGCGCCCGCCAGGGACACCTGCAGGATGGAGAGGACAGCAGTGACAACTCAGTTCTGTGTCCTACTGGCATCCCCTGGGGACACCCCGGCATCCAACAGCATCTGCCATCCACCACCCTGGGACCCCCTGCAGCCCAGTAACTGGCACCCCCTGGCACTCCAGCCCCTTTTGCCGTCCCTCCTGCAGCCCCCTTGGGTGCTCCTCACCATCATCTGGCCTCCAGGCACCACAGCAGTTGAGGAGTAGCACAGTCACCACCAGTCCCAGTGCCAGCACCAGCCCCAGCAGCCCAAAGTGCCTGCGGGAGACTGGGAGAGGGGCAGTAAAGGGGATGTCTGCCCATTTCCACTCCCCCCTGATTCCCCTCCGGGACCCCCTCTCACCATCGGGACAGAGGAGCTGCTTCCGAGCAAAATGCACATCCGAGCGCCACACCTGGGGAAGGGGTTGGGTAAGAGGGGGACCGTGTTGGGTCTCCCATAGCACAGATGACAGCACAAGAGTCACCTTACCAGCACGCAGCTGCCCAGGATCTGCACTGGCAGCAGCAGCGCCAACTCCCCTGGAGCAGAGCCCTCTGGCTGCAACGCACAAGGGCAGGGTCAGTGTGGGTCTGTCCATACCTTGTCCCCCCCTCAGCCCTGCACCACTCACCTGTGTGACAGTGTAGAGTGGGGCCTCAGGTTCACACTGCCCACCCCGGCGCTGGCACAGGGCTGCGCTGAAGGCTGCAGGGATGCGGGAGGTAAGGTGCAGGCGTAGCTGGAGCCCCCACACACTCACTGAAACATTCCAGGCAGTTTCTGCGGCCACCAGAAAGAGTAGCGAGGTTGCAGGATGCCCAATAGGGTGAGGGGTGCAAGAGGCCCCAGGGCAGGACTGTGCTTAGCCCAGGGCTGCCCTTGCCCATAGATCTCACCTGGCTGGCGGGGACACTCCACATGGCTGCTGTTCTTGTAGGAGAACTGAGGGGAGGTGGGATCAAGAAAGGGCAGGGTGAGCTGCCCTCACCCACCACAGCCCCCCAGCCCCTTCCAAGGTGGTGCCCACCCACCCACAGGGGCTTACTCGGAAGCAGAGCTGGGGGTGCACGTCCACCTTGTCCAATATGTACACCTGGAACAAATGGAGAGTGTACCACAGTTACCATCTCTGACCCACACAGTCCACAGGCACCCCCGTGCCCACCTACTGCCCTTTAGGGACCCTGAGATCCAGTGGATGCCTCAGCCAGTGGCACGGTCCCACATCCTGTGACACCTCAAGATCAGGAGGCCTCACCTGCCCATCTTTACTGGCTGTGGAATTGGGGATGTCATGACAGGGTGCAGCCTCATCTGGTGCCTCCCTCCAGCAGAGGGTGGCCTGTGGGTGCAGGGGGCAGGTGGCATTCAGCTCCATCGCCATCTGGTCCTTGCTGCTGGTGCTGTAGTCGTGGAAGCGCACTGAGGACCACAGCTCAGGACCATCTGTGGGGCACCACATCAGTGGGATGGCAAGACACCAAGGGACACCCCTGGGACTCATCTCCCCTCCCCACAGGCACCAGGCACTCACAGGCATCTGGCCGGTCACGGAAGGGGCAGTGTTTGCTCCTTGGGCTGTCATGGTGGGAGTAGGAGGCCTGGGGCAGCAGAGCAGGATGGTCAGGGCAGGATATGCCCCCACCGCTCATGCGAGGGCAGAGGAATGGGTTCTGGTGGCCGTAAGGGAGGGCAACCCACCTCAATGCAGAGGCAGGGCACCAGGAACTCATACCGCAGTGAGATGTGGTGGCCTCCTGGCACCAGCACCTACAACATGGAGGAAACATCAGCTGTCAGTGATTGTGTCCCCCAGTCTGGGACGGGGGTGTCGGGGGGCAGAGCCGTTACCTGCTGGTGGAAGGGCTGGGGCAGCTCCTCACACTCCAGGGCCAGCTGGTGGCACAGCCGCACCATGAGGGCGGGACCCGCGGGCACCCACACCTCAATGGCCTGCACCTCAGGAACCCAAGCATGGGTAAAGACAGGCCCTGCTGAGCAGGCAGGGGGTTACAGCTGGTACCGGCGTCTCCCCAGGACACCTCCCAACCACTTCAGTCTCACCAGGTGGCTCAGCGGTGACCAGATGGCTGCAGCTTAGGGCGAAGCCCCGATCTGGGATGGTGCGAAGGGAGACGAGGACTTGCTGCCCGCTCTCTGCCGGGAAGCAGTCGAACTGCACCTGCCACTGCAGGAAACAGCGGGTCAGTGGGGGTACTCCGGGCCTCGGTGTCCCCCGGCTCCACCGCCCACCGCAGACTCACCGCTGAGCTGCCCAACACCCGGCGTCGCTGCCAAACCTGCAGCCAGCCAGCCCGGTTGGAGCTCAGCTCCAGGAAGGTGAGCTGCAGTCCCCGGACACCGCCGAGCTCTGCAAGAAACCGGCGTCGGGTGCTGACATGGGTGGGGGGACGGGGTGTGTGTCCCCTGCCGCGGGGAGGCCCGGCCCCGCCACCCCCGCCCGTACCTGAGGTGGGGAGGGCCAGGCGCACCCGCAGGCAGGGCTGGCAGGGCTGCGCGGGCAGGCACAGCCGGGCACGGCTCAGCGACAGGGCGGGCGGCTCCAGCGGCCGCCCTGGGCGGGAAGGGCGGCGGCAGCGGGGGCGGCTCAGCGTCCTATCGGCTGCAGGGGGAGAGCAGACGGGAGACGGCCGTGCGCCGGGGGTCCCACAGGCAGCAGGAGCCCCGGAGACTGGGAGTGCTTGGAAGGGGGAGAGCCCGGGGGAGGTGTATTCGGAAAGGAGGTGCCCCGGGGAGTCCTGGCAAACCGGGAGCCCCGGTGATTCGGAGCCCTCGGAAGTGGGAATCTCTGGAGATCGGGAGTCTTCGGAAACAGGGAACCCCGGGGATCCGGACTCTTTGGAAGCGGGGAGCCCCAGAGGCCAGGAAGTCAGGAAGTTTCGGGGATCGAGAGCCCTCGGAAGCGGGGAACCCGGTACCCCGGAAACCGGGAGCGCACCCCCCTCTCCCCGGCCCCCATCCTCCAGGACCCAGTAGCCGCGGGCAAGGGTAGCCCCACCATGCCGCCGCACTCTGGAGCCGAGCAGGAGCAGCCCCGCGCTGACAGCCCTGCCCCGCCGCTACTCACCGGTGGCCCGGCACTCCTGCAAGCAAAGAGACGGGGATGAGCGCGGCGCCGCCCGCCCCCACCTTCCCCGGCCACCTCCCTTCCCCAGCGCTCACGAAGTTGGCGGAGACCCGGAGGCGGGTCACGGCGGCCCCCGTCCCGGGCGGCGGCGGCAGCAGCAGCAGCGCGGCGGCAGCGGTGAGCAGCACCGAGCGCCCCATGGCCGAGCGCCGCCACTCCCCGCCCCGCCCCGGGCCGGCCCCGCCGCATTCCTCCACCGGCACGTGCGGCCCCGCCGCCCCCCGCTGCCAGGCGGCGCTTCCGGGGCGCAGACTCGCGTGGGAGAGCGGACGGTGCTTTATTTCCATAGAGCAACACGCGGAGGAAAAGGGCACGCCCCCCAAGGACCCTCCACGGCCCCAGCCCTCGGGGGATCTCCCCCTTGCGTGAGAGCCCGGGGCCGTGGCGTGTCTCAGACACCCACCCCGTGGTCCCCGAGGATCCCCACCCACCGGAGCCGCGCCAGCGCTGCCCCACAGGACTGAACTGCAGAGCTTCAGCACCTCACGGAGCCCACGTATCCCCACTCATTTCTTCTTCTTCTCCTGCGTGCTAGTGAACCAGGAGTCCAGCAGCTTCTTGCTGTAGTAGAGTTGCCAGCCATGCACCTGCGCGGCCACCACCACCACCAGGTACATGACAGAGACGGCCGAGAAGCCGAAGATGAAGCGGTAAGCTTTGCCGTGGCGGTACAGCTGCTGTGCCATGGGGAACATCTCCATGGCCCCGTAGATGAGGGGAGCCATGGAGAAGAGGCCGGTGCTGATCATGGAGAGTACCAGGTAGCTTATGTTGTTGCGGGGGAAGGACAGAAGGCCCAGGAGGGAGGGCAGGATGCTGAGCAGATAGGGATACTCCCACTGGTAGGGCATGGCCACCTGGTCGTGCGGCAGCAGCTTGAGGTGCCCCACGACCATCTGGGCCAGGAGCAGCAACCAGATGACCACATGCGTGTAGATCAGCTTCTTGATCTCCGACTTGAGGGTCACGCTGGGGAGAGAGTGTGTGGCCATCAGGGCCTGCTGGGGTCGCGTGTCCCCCCCGGAACCCCGGGAAAGGGGACACCTACCTCATCTGGTAGTGCGAGGCCACGCGCTCCCGGTGCTGGAAGTCGCTGCCGTCGGTGCCGGCGGCGCGGGGACCCCCGCGGGAGGCCATGGTGCTGTCCTGGGGATACACAGCGTCACACGGGGCCGCCCTCCCTGCCCGCCTCCCCAGCGCAGCCCCGGCACAAGCCCCCCGGGCCTCCCTCCCACAGCGACAGCCCCGGGGCTCCCTCCCCGTGACCGCCCGGCCCTCCGGGACAGCCGCGGGGTGACCCCCCCCCCCCCCCCG